TTTTTTTTTTTTTTTTTCTTTTTTTTCGTGTTTTGGGTTTTGAACTTTAGTGTTTTGGTTTCGATGGTTTTCGGCTTGGAAATTTGAAAGAAGACTGTCGGGCTCTCCTCTTTCTACTATCAGCACACAACTTTTGAAACAAATTGAAAACACAGCTTTTGCCCTTTTTTTTTTCATTTAGCACTGTTTTATTAGGCAGCAAGATTTGTAAATGTGCAGATTTGGAGCATGAATAGAAATACCCCATAAACTATATGCATATTTTTGTTCTGTTTTTTTCACATGTTTAAAATGAAATCGGTACACGTCTGGCAACTGCAATCTTCAAACCGACACATATCGCAACCTACACACACACACTGCTCACAGCCTCTGCACCTCGAAGCCCTCTGACAGCCTCGAACCACTGACCGACAGTCTCGTTCTTCCGCTTCATTGCAGCTCAACCTATCAAAAAAGTTGATTAAAAATCCCCATTAAGAACGAATTTCATCTTATTACATTAGCTAATCGATCTTTTTCTTTTCTTTTTCGAACTTACGGCTGGTTTGGCATGTCCGAACATTTCCAGTTACCGTTGAGAAGAGCATCATGATAGGCTCTGCAAGCCTCCTTGTCTCGGAGGCTAAACCTTCGTTGTTTGTTGCATATCGAGCAGATTTTGAATTCGTCTCGATGGACTACTTGGCGCATAGGTCGGTGAAAAGCCTCCGTGTGGTGTTTGAGCAAACACGTCCTTCGAAGGGCGATCTTGAGGCCATCGTGGCCGAACACCCAAATTTGTGTCTTCCAGTTGGTGTGCGCGTTCGTTCGACCGGCATGCCTTGCAAAGTCGGTTGGGGATAAGTTAACTGCAAAACGTCGATTTTTCGTAAGGATACAATAAAAACGAAAAAAAGAAAATGGCGTGTAAAATTAGCGTTGATGGGATTGTAAGAGCATCCACAATGTTTTGAGTCGGCTGAGAATAAGTTAACTGCAGATCGTCGATTTCGTAAGGATTCATTCAATCGTGCAAAATTAGCGCTGATGGGATTGTAATTGCACTATGTATGTTTCGGAGGAAAAAATTGCGTGATTTTAGTACGATGGCTTTTGGTTGGTTGCATGCTCGTCTCGTCGAACAATCTTTTCGGAATTTTTTGTTTGTGGTACGATAACTTTTGATTTGGTGTCAGCTTATAGAGGATGGAGTGTCAAAGTTTAAACTGAAATTCCAGTTGATTTCGAACACAAAAACTCAGAACATAAATGGGAGGATTTTGTACCTTGAGAACAATCATCCCTGCAAATGCAATCAACCTCGATTTTTCCATTAACGTATACTCGAAGCTTTCCGGGCGTGTCGCCGTATCTGGGATTTGTGCAGCCACAATCCATCTCTACAAACTCCTCTCTGTGCTGCAACACTCCATAAAAGCTGGACATTTCTTGTTGACTGAACATAATTTGCTTCTTTTTTTATTTGTTAAAAAAATTGCCTGCCAATTATTGTATTTATTTATAATTATTTAAATATAATAATATGCATTGTGTATACATATATTAGTGTGCACATCTAGTGCATGTGATTGTCACATTAAACAGACTCGTCTTATATAACGAAAAATTTATGTTTGTTCATTAGTGTTCACACAACACAAACATGTATCAATAAAACGTATAAGTGATTTGTGCATTCTCATAGGGAACAACTTTTAATTGTTCTCTATCAGTGGTTATATGTGTATGACATTGTTGAGTAGATTTTCTTAAATATAATTGTAGCAAGATGGGAAGTTTACATATCTCTATGTCTTTTGTGATTACTTTCACAAAAGATGAGAAGACGAAGAAAAAACTAACCTCAGATCTGCAGACTCGGAGTTTATGAGAAGAACGAGTATGGTTGGTGTCGAAACCTCTTTTTATAGCGGTTGGACGCAATTAAATTCATCAAATTCGTCATCTGATTTTAGAAATGTCGAATAATTACACACGTCTAGTTCTATATCTTATTTGAATTCATTACATTCGCCATCTGATTTTAGAAATGTTGAATAATTACACACGTCTAATTATGTATCTTATTTGGATTCATTACATTCGCCATTAATCTGATTTCATAAATGTTAAATAATTACACACGTCTAATTCTGTACCTATTTAAATTCATTACATTTGCTATTTAATTTTAGAAATTTTGAGTAATTACACACGTTCAATTCTGTATCTTATGTAAAAAATAATTATGATATTTTTGTAACGGTCAAATTTATAAACATCTTACTGCAAAATACACATCACAATTGTAAATGATAGTTTTGATAGCTTGAATTGAGCTTTATTTCGTATAATATGTATAACTTATAATCAAATACCTAAATTAATTGAAATTAATTTTGAAGCGCGTCTTCAGATACGCGCTTTCGACACTGTTGCGTAGAAAATAAATAAATAAAAACACTTGTATTACATAATATAAATTGTACAAGATAGTTAATGAATGAACACCTTTACAACCCAAAAAAAAAAAAAAAA